TGCACTTTGGGGTATTTTCTTTGGATCACTTTCAAGAACTTAACAAACTGAACAATGGCTTCCCACTGTTCCAAGATTCGTCGAACAGCTGGACCAATGGACAACCACCGAAGACTACTATGCTCTATAAAGAGCTTAAGCTCGACATCCACATTCAACTGCAACTTCCTGAAGTCTTCTCGGCGAGCAGCTGAGTATTTAAAAAGGCTGTGCAAGTCAATGACGAATTGCTCAGCATCTTTTCCATACTTGTCCAAGCCCTTACCAAAACTGTTGTGTACAATGTGAATGTTGCATGTTCCAACATCCACAAGTCCTTGGAAACCAGGGTAAACCTCGCGAATTTTCTGTTCCATTTCTCTCCAGATGGTCTTGTTAACATTAGGTCCATCACTCCCTAGTGTTAACAGTTGAGTAAGGGGCACGTCGTCGCTTCTAAATGTGGACATGATGGCACTTGCAACTGTAGCACCCTCAGCATGTCCAAAAAATTGTGATGTGTAATACCTTATCCACACCTCATTGTGGACTGGTGACCAGTATCGGATGTGCAACTCCATCTGCTTTTTAACTTGACACTGTGTTGTTTCGTCGTACTGAAGACTGAAGGGACTCTGTGAAGCTCTAACGTCAGAAATGAGCTCTTCTTTGAAAACAGGTCCAAAACCATGTCCAATTACATACGACAACTTTGTTCTGCTCATTGAAAAAGTTTCGAGTGTTTCAGGATTGCTGAACATCGCTCTAAATGTATCTCCGATACCATCACTTGACCTGAAACTGTAGTTGTCATTCGCTGTTTTGGCTGCCCAAATAATCTCTGCTTTAGTAGTATCATCCTTCTTGCTTGTAACACAAATATTACGCACTGGTACAGGAATTATTTCTGATACCTCTGAAGAAGCCTGTGATTCTATGGACGATGAATTATGAATGGTTTTAAATGCTATCTTTGTCTGACTGTCACTGCATGCTATGTTTGCAAGACGAATGTGTGTCTTACTCTTCTCTGAATGTTGAAGAACTTGGGCAAATCCTGCATTCCCACACTGAATTGTCTTTTTACACACAAAACAGTATGCAGTCGTATCCGTTTTCCCTTTGGAACACCACAACCTGAGTTTATGGCCATTTCCATCTATTTCATCTAGCCAGCGGTCATTAAACTTTGTCTGATGTTTGGGCATGTCTGCCAATGTAGTCTCACTCTAATTAATGACCAAAAAAAAGATTATCTGTTGTTGAACAATTCTAAACAAAGGTAGAAGTTGTTTTAAAAAGCTGCAGGGTTTCCATTCAAGTAGAACTTGCGAATAATTATTTACTGGTTAATACAGCATTAAGTTATTTGCATCCTTTGATCATTTTCCAGGGGGCCATGCAAATCTGAAATGTGACATGTAGTGTACCACCAAAATAACCTTATAGTTCCTCAGTTAAAGAGTGGCTGAACGCACAGACCAAATATTGACTGTTTTTAAAAATACAACTTGAACCACAAAACAGCAGAAACACTACAAAATTTTAACTATCTCTAAAATAGCATTAAATGTTAGTACATGTAATCGTATTGAAACAGATCTTATATCAGCAAACTCACGGATTTATTTACTTTAATTTATATTATAACTTTTTTCATTTCACATTAAAGCATCTAAGTAAGTTATTCTACAAGATAAAAGGCATTTTTGGACGAAAGGATAATAATCATATCAGAAACAAAAGAGGTTCGTTCCGTATCTGATGTTACATCATAAAAGAAACATTGAAGCAACAAGTGTATTTGCTTTTCTCATTCAAAATAGATACAAGAACAAAGGGTCATCAATCTCAAGTGAGGTGACATAATGATAAACAGCTATTGTTAGAATACAAAGAGGATGGAAATGGATGTAAAATATAAACTCACCTCTCAACACCAACATGGCAGCCAGAAAGACCCCCCACAGTCAACCCACAATGCATTGCAAGAGTGCAAATTGGGCAATTTGCTTTCTAAGCTGTTTCTAACAGATATTTGTGACAAAAAATCTCCTGGATTGTGGATTTTAAACGCCAATACAACTTTTACATTTCTTGAATATTCTTTTTTTTACAAGAAGGCTTAAAATATAGGAAAATATAGGATTTACCTCAATTTATAGGAGTTTATAGGACAAGTCTGAAAAAATAGGACTTTATAGGATTTTATAGGAATATATAGGACGCTTGACACCCTGTGCATTTTTTCGTGGATATGTTACAAGCAAAAGAGTGAATAACTTACATGAATACACATTTCAGTTGTTTTGTCATGTATATTTGATCTTGGAGACGCAAAAAAATGTCACTTTTTTGACGATGGAGATTTTAAAAAATGGTAGCTCAAGGTTCAGAAAAACCGCCGCCAAAATTGCTTTTCGTAGCAAAGGATAGTGACTTGGAATGTCTCGTCGTTGCTCTTTCTATAGTCAGACAACTACAGTAATTCGAAATGTGACTTTCAGAAACCTAACGCAATTAAAGAACTAAAAAACCTGGTTAATGAGCACCAATGCAATCATGGAAATCTCGAAAAACAACGAAGGTGAACTGTAGACGTATTTTCTTCATCGTATTTCTGGGTCCCTAGAGGAATCCTCGTCAATTCAAACTTCACAGAGACTTGACAAATCGTTCATCGCCTTTCCTTAACTCGAGGTTATGAAACCGGGGTTTAGCTATATAAATTTTCCCGAGGGACACATTTCTACCCTACTGGGCCCTCTTCCGTCTTCCAAATCGTACTTTAAATTCCGTTTTTTTTTATCAATATGTTCAGGTACTCATCCGTTTAAGAAATGCATTAGAAGTGCTTTGAGCTACCTTAATTAGCCTTGATATGCGTTGCATCGGTTAGTTCTGTAATGGTCTCGGCTAGCCCAAGTACGACTGAGAATTGAATGTTAACACAATACTTTATTTTAAAAGCAAATGAGATTGAGTATTCAGTCGTTAAAACTGATAAGCTCCAAGGTGAGCCCCATGAAAGAGTCTGGACTCCAGGTACTGGATTGCGGATTCCTTGTCAGTGGAACTTGGATTTCGGATTCCTTGAGCTTCACTACCGATTCCGAAGATCACGATTTCAGACTCTACAAGCAAAAATTTCCCGGATTCCGCAAATCTGGTTTACTTTACATGGGGCGATATATCGTCGATTGCATCTGAGCGTGGACACGAGACAAAAAAACATGTTTTAACAGGGTGCACGACATGACGTGTTTTGCCGCCAAACATTTGAAAACTGTTTTTGATCAGCGCGTTCCGCTCGTATTTCATTTTTCTCAACTTTCAGGCATATTTCTCGCTGAGAAACAGCACAATTGCCTCCAGAAAAAATTTTTCTTAGCGAAAACAAATCAAGTCGACAACAGCCGCCTACTCCAAACTTGATTGACGGCAAAACATGTCACGTTTGCACCCAATTAGAACATGTTTCTCCTCACGTTTACACGCTTAGATGCAACTGACGGTATTGGTTAGCGAGATCTGAAGGACAGCTGTTAAAGCTTAGGACTGGGAACTACTGAGGGGTCAATCCAAACACTTACAGAATGAACCGCCCAACAGGGGGTGTCCATATTCCAGTCAATTTCAAGAATGGAATATAATATTTCCAACAACAGTGATCAAAAAGTGAGGTCCGAAATCTCGGATGCGAAATAAAAACCTATGACGGGAAACAAAAACAGATAATAATTTCGAATGAAACACCCTTCAAAACGAAGGGAAGCTTAAACCCAACGAAATAACACCCGAAATAACAACCGACAAACCGTTCCGTCCTCGGGTTTCAAGCTTCTAACAGTACGGTCATGTTGCTACTTAGCTTTGAAATTCGCCGCGAAACTGTTTCCTGTCTCCAAAACAGATCTTGCTTTGATAAAAGCCCCATAAATGCTGTACAGTTATTCAAGTTCAGTTGTTCAAATTTCAAGTGTCCAGAGTCAACACGGTTTCTTGGTCGACGGCAGAACGTCACCATAGACTCGTTCATAGAATTTTTGACCATATTAACTCGATGTTAACATCATTGCATCGCTTAATCTCCCGTTAAAATTGCCTTGGAACATCTTAGTAATCCAAGTGATATTTCACGGACAACAATTAAAAATTTATCCGCTTCCCCGAGTTTCTCCTGTAGCCGACCGCTGACCAAAATAGCCTGATTACTCTGACTTCATTCCCTCCTAGATAGTCCTCAGGTTCCCTGGACAACGGAAGTCGCAGCCTCTAGAACAAGATTGCAACAACCTTCAGACGTAACGGTGGAAATGTAACGCTCAAGATACAAGACACTGAAAAGGATTGTTCTTGACTAATTGCATATTCAATAGTCACAAAATCAAAGGAATTCTATGTGGCAGGATTAATGTTACAAAATTTTGCAAATTCACTTTTAATTCTAAAACACGTCCTATTTAATCCTACCTAGCAATACTTCATTTCAATCGATGTAAGTTGTTTAGTAATATACAGAATTTACCTAACATTCACTTTCCTCAATACACATTTAATTTGAAAACCTGGTATTTAGGCTATACTTGAGATATTCTATGTTTTCATTTTTGTCTTTTTGTTTAGTGCAACAAATGTTTTGGTATTTATGATTTCTACTGACTGGAATGATCCAACTAATACCATCTTGTTTTTACGGTTACACAAGGAAAGCCAGTACGTGTTCAAAGCGGACGTATTCGACGCGAGCAATTTTGTATCAAAAGAAGTTTTTCTATAAAAATGTCTTACTGTAAAATAATGTTATCACACACAACTTATGAAATTTACACCTTTCTCCTCCAGGAACCAATACTAATTAGTTACCAGAAACCCCAAATCAAATGCCAATGACTATTACAGCAATAACAGGACACTTCCCCAGGGTATGCACCAAAGGCACTGAGCTGTTACACCGCGACTCGTTTCCTTGCCGTTTCAGCTCACACCGCTGAAAGCAGGCTCAAAGGCGCTAACCGCGTTCATAGTACTGTGTCTCCATCATCGTTTAAGATGTCCTCCAGGGAAACCGCTTTCGGGCTCTTTGGTACTGTTCCGTTCTCCTTGGTATCTTTGCCTTCTTCAGTAGCAGCAATTGACCTAAACACGAAACAAGATAACGTAAAACTCTACTTCAAACGCCAGGTTAACTTAACTTTATTCTAAAGATCAGTTGAAAGGTTGAGGAACGGTTAGAAAAAGCCCACAAGGTCGGCTTGGGAGTAAAACACGTAAATTTCATTCATGAACTACGACGACAACGCAGTTTTCCTCAACCTACGGTACTCAAACTAAGGACTGGTCCTTCACAGAGGTCAGTCAACGTCTCTGACGAAAAAGGCAGCCTTTGAAAACAGTGAATTTCTTTAAGGTGGTACTTCCATTTTGTTAAAACTCAACGTGATATGTATAATGTTTGTCAAACAACCGAATTCATGCCAAAGTTCGAAGAAAGAACAATGCCTTCAAAGTTTTCTTCATGCGATAATGCCCTTCCCTCGCGGTCTACAAGTACGAGCCTAGTGCTGAAACGTGCGAAGTTCAGAAATCACCAGTTACACTTTTTAACTCTTACTACTACCAACATCAAAACTCAAGAAGAAACGAAAATGCCACTCTGTAAACTAAAAAAAAAAAACAAAACAAAACAAAAAACAAAGGAGTTATCACTTGCGAAGGTGCTGGCGAAGAAGCTTCGTCTGGAAGCTCAAAACACATGTCTTTTGTTCACAGACTCTAACGTTAACTTAAGAATTGATAGAGACCTTTAGATTCTAAGACGAGGACGACTACAAGAACGAGATTTTCTCAATACTATAAAGTATGCAAGATAAAAGTGGTTTCGCTGCATTGGTTGACCGAGTAGTCGTCGATGCAACTCCATAGTAATAAGATTACTGATTGGGGGATTAAACGGTATTGTACTCTGCCTGAACCAGCGTCATTTTGGCGGAAAAACGCGATAGCCGTCGTCATTCTACTACGGCTTTTAGCCAAAATATCGTAATGGCGGGAACAATTTATCAAATATTGGACGTTTAATCATTTTGCGATCAGGAGAGGGCTCAACTTATTTAAAAAGAAATAACCTTAGCTTGCTAACTTTTCTGCTGAAAAAAGTAAAATGAAGGTTTCCAGGGTAGCTAACTTTTGAGAACACGCGATAATTCTGTTAGAGAAATTTCGACCTTGCAGTCGTCGTCCTCGTCCATGAATCTAAAGGTCTCTAATAAGGAGAATCGGATAGGTACTATACTCTATAGCCTACGTCGCACGCGGACGCTCTAAACCTCCTGTATAGACGGACCATACTAATGGTCTAGACGATACGTACCCGAGTGCAACGCAGGCTATATACACTACGAATCAAACAAACTACCTACGTTTTATTACTCTGCTCCTCAGCGACCTCTTGTATGGTCTCTTCCCCTCTGTTCCCACTTCGGTCTTTCTCCTTCCTAACAAACTCTTCATCACCGACTGAAGGCGGTTCCCAGCTTAGCTTTCTCGTTAACAAACTGGACGGACCCTGCCCTGGTGACCAGGGTTTGGGCAAAGTGGCTGATCGGGCAGCCGTTTTTTCGATCGAGGTACTTCGCTGCACCTTAAGCGAGTTGGATCGACCACCAGGTCTGAGAGCTTGTATTCCCGACTCCTTTTGGACCCAGATGTCGTCCAGTGTACCAGTCCGCCTGCTTCCAATCACTCCTTTATCTATGGTCTCGGATTTTTGCGTTTCTCGCTTTTCATTATTTCCATCTACTTTGTCCTCTGTGGATTTTACGTCCTTCGTCTCGGCCTCTTTTTCCTGTTTAAGTTGTTCAGATTCTTTTTCACTTGCCTTTCTCTCCTTTTCCGTCTTTCCCATTTTCGGTTTAGTTCCCTCTTCTACTGTCTCTCCCTCCTTTGCGCCCGCCTCCTTCTTTCCATCAACTTCAGTCACTTTTTCTTCTTCTTTCTTCTCTTCCCCTACATTTGTCTTACTCGCACCCACCTTCTCCTCTACTTTTGCTTTGGGTTCTCCTACTTTTTTCTCTTCCGGTTTCTTCACCAGTTTGATTTCCGGTTTTTCCACCTTCTTCTCTTCCGGTTTTTCTTCCTTGTTCTCTGCAGGTTTAGGCTTTGGCCTCGGGGCGGGTTTAGGCGGGGTACCAGACGGTAACCTAGGTCTTTTTACTGAAGATGGTTTTACCAACGTTTCCTTGGATACTTCCACATCAGCTCCCTTACTTCCGGTATCTTTCTCGTCTGGTTTGGTCTCCGCTGGCTTTTCAGGCGTTTTATTCTGTAAAATGAAACAAAAGAAAGAGCTTAAACGAGCTGTGTCACGAAATGTATGAAAAGAAAAACAGTGAGAGTTGCCACCAAAGTGCGTGGAACCAAAATAACCGCATAGATAACGCAGCAAATAGGAAAAGAGGAACGGAAGGGGGGAAAACTTACAGAAGATTAAAACAGATTGCAATTGCGGTTTTTAAAAACTTGTTAGCCTAACAGTTTTTCAAAAATCATTTTTGTTGTTTGTCACAATTGAAATAATACTTATGAGACATATTTTAATGATACCAAGCCGTAAAGAAGCTGTAGTAGACCGGTGCGCTAGAATAGAAGCGGACAGTTCATTAAACTATGGACCACTTGGTTGATCAATCACTTGGATGAATAGTTTGACACGGTTTCATAGGAGTGTGTGTATCCTACTGTAGTCGCGGTGCTTTGTCAATTTCTAATCAAACTAAATGACTTTACTTACCTTTTTTAAGCTGGCCGCTCTCTCTTGTCTCTGTTTCATTTCAGCCAAAAGTCCTCCTCCCGCTAATCCTCCCATTCCAATTCCAAATTTGGGCGGTTTTTTGACAGCAGGTGCAGGTGCCGAGGCGGCCTCGTCAGAGGTGGTCTGTGAAGAACCTTTATCACTCGTGGCTGTTCTGTCACGTGGATGAGGAGCACTGGGTCGGACGGTTGAGTCTGTAGTGGCTTTGTCACGCGGTAGGGCAAACGGTTTGACGCCCATTATGGGCGGTCTTACCAGTTCCGGTTTCTTATCTGAGAGCCTCCTTCCTATTGTCTCTTCTCCTTTCTTCTCGGTTGGAGTTTCTTCTTTTTTATCACTTGGTATTACTTCTGGTTTATTTTCAGTCGGGATTACCGCCGGTTTCGTTTCACTCGGGGTTACTTCCGGTTCCTTTTCATTCGGGGTTACTTCCGGCTTCTTTTCACTTGACGTAACTTCCGGTTTGTTCTCGGTGGGCGCTACTTCTGGCTTCTTTTCACTTGGCGTAACTTCCGGTTTCTTCTCGGTGGGCGCTACTTCCGGCTTCTTTTCACTTGGCTTAACTTCCAGTTTCTTTTCAGATGGTGTTCTTTCTTTGGATACCTCCGGTTTTTTAACCGAGGGTACCTTTTCTTTTTCGTTTTTCTTTTCAGGCGGGGTCTTTTCTACGTCTGGTCTGTTCTCCGAAGCTGCCCTCTGTCTGCTTTGTTTCGGTGAATCGCCTTTTTTCTTCTTTTCAGCTGAAACACCAAGACAGGTTTCCAATACAAAGAGATTAGATCAACATAAGATTACTTTACGGCGGATATCAGTACTAGCCTGCGTAGTAAGCGCTTCGATACAGTTTCGGAGCAAAGAACGAGGAACGACAGTCAAAGACCGCGTGAAAAAAGGGGGCTCTCGTTCCATTTTGCGCGTGGCCAAAACCGAAAATCCCGTTCCTCGTCGTTCCTTGGTCTTTCTTTGCTCCGAAACCACACGGAAGCGCTTGCTGCGCAGGCTACGGATATGCAAAATCTTCGATAGGAAAAAAAGAGCGCTCAGAACTTTCATAGTATCTCAAGTCGGACAAACCTGAATTGTAACTTAAAGTTGGAGGAGAAACTTAACTACAATGAACAAGTTGTCTAAAAGACTTAGCGCTCAAAAAAAAAAACCTGAATTCAATCTTATCGTTTGGGCAAGCAGCTCTTACATTTGGCTTGCTCAGGGCCACTTCTTGTTCGAAGATGACTTGCCTGGAGCCAGTAAGCTGTAAAAGTTACCGTAGTTCCCGGCAGGAAAATCTACTCGTCGCGGACTACCGAAGGAAACTTCTTTCGAGCTCTGAAACTGGCTTCAAAATTCAATATTTATTATCCCATAAGCTAAACCTAAGCCTCAATTTGGTGCCTTTGTGTGCGCAAACCGAAGCACCATAGGTACGAAAATTTGGTTATCTATGCATCTACGAACATTTGGTCCTGACGAAATCGGCCGCAAGTCCGTACGTTTGTCCACCCCTCCATGTTAGCGAATGTGAAATGTCTTATCCATTAGCTTCAAAGTCCAAGCCATATACAAATCGTGTTTTACTTGATATTGAACACTCATGTTATGATCACATGACAGCTGTCAAAATAGGGTATTCGCTGACCAGTACCACATAACTGCATCGCGAGCTCGGATGTACAACTCATTGAGGTGAAATTTTTTAAAAGTTCTCCGCTGACCAGTTATGGTATTAAAGTGATCACAGGCTCACAAAAACTTTACTTTAGAAAGACATTTCTCAAAACTTCCCACGAGAGCTCGGCTTTTAGCGTTGGCTAAATGTAAATATTATCAAAAATGGTAATGGTTATTTCGTTTACCGTTATTCGTGTACCAGGCAGTGGAAGCAGATTCCGGTGGTCCTGGAGCTGTTGCAGAGCGATCTCTGTGCTTCTTCTTTAAAAATCCAGGTATACCGATGTTGAGTCCTCTGAAAAACAATAAAATATAGTTTTTTCTTCAGTTTTACGCTTACCATCAAAGGCTTTTGTACAGCTTGCAGGCTAACCGGGTTCCATTCTGGGTAGTGAATTTCTCTTTTTTTTGGTTCGTCTGACTTATTGCTGGAATATGCGCATTTGTAAACAAAGGTTTATGCAAAATTTTGGGGGGAAACAGATTGTATTATGGTGATTCGAAAAAATAGAATAATAGTTTAAAAAAGTTTTAATTGCCTTAATACTAGCGACGCTTGTTTACAAAAGTGAAAAGGGCTCCGTGGAGTTACAAAGCGGGCGCAAAATTTGGCGCTGAAACTGTGAGCAGTGCGAATCATTCAAGCTAATATGTCTTGTGATGTAATTTTCTGTTGTCATAGTGCAATGTGCTAACACGATTCCCAACACTAACAACATGAAGTCATCAACGGTTGCTCCCAGGTGAACGCGTGCTACTGAGCGTTCCAGCTTATCTCTGTCCCTAAGGAAGATCAGAATACACAACTTCCGCTTTTAACGCAAGCTTGAAATAACAAAAAGCACGAAACACAATGGTTAAGGTAAAGGTAATGAAGATGCGCACGCAAGCCAAGGAGGCCACAGTAGCAGGTCAGTTAGCCCTGCTTGTGTAGCATGAAGCTAATAAAACTAAACAAGTAAAACATTTTAACAACGACACGTCAAGGCATTTTCACACGCAACCATTGGTTGGTATGCCAGACTTGGCACTGCTTTGTAACAACACGGTGAATTTACGTTTTACAGCCATAAGCTGTCCATCTTCCTGAAACACAACTAAACACAACTTTACAAACAATAAGTTGTTGGTCTAACATCGGACTGATTTGTAAGAACACGATGACTACGTTTTACGGCTATAAACTGCACATCTTCCTCAAACGCGACTAAGCAAGTAAAGAATTCGAACTATGGCATGTTAAAGCCAATTGACAGGCTACCATTTGTTGGCTTGATTTGAGACTTATTTGACCCTATGACAATGATTTCTTTCGATTACGTTATCCCCGCGTTACAGCTTCCTTATTTAACATATATACCGTGGCCAAAAGAATAAACTCCGGTAAGAAGAAAAGATCAGCTTACAGTATTAAGTAAAATCCAACTAGTGGTCTATTATCAATGCTCCGTTCTGCTTGGTTGAGGTACTACTAGGCTATATGTTATAACCCACTAGAAGCGAAAAGGGCCGATTTTGAAAACCAAAACAATGGCGGCTGAATCGCGTTTTGCTAGCTTAAGTTGTTTTGTCTCGAGAATAATTATTATTCCTCTCGCCCTCATGGCCTCTGAATCAATAGCCCCCTCCATGGGGTATTGACCCAGAGCCCATTCGGGCTCGAGGAATAATTGTTAAATACTCGGCAGCTTCGTTCCTCTCTCGGAAAGCGTTCGGTTAGCGGGTTTTGTACACACCAGGAAATGGCCAGCGGTTATTCATTTGAAAAACGGCGATTAATTGGTACACGGGGTCGAACAGGAGAAGCTGTTTAGAACGGGATCGATAAAGATCCGACATCGTCAATACGCGTCTGATCTCGGATTACACGACATTTTATCGTTTATCGTTTACTCAAAAAGTTTGTTTACTCACCCTTTCGGCATCCAACCTGACTTTTTATTTTCCTGTTTACGAAAAATTTTCGTAGTTAAAACAAAATATTCAGTATAAAAATACCTCTAGTTTGTACTACCGCTTTATAGTGTTAATTCTAAATTATATTAAGAATTTTCGACCTATGCATCGGAAAGACAGTGTTTCCATTAATCTTCCTTGAGATCCAGACATCTGTTAGAAAGATTCAAACCCATCGGCACTCTTTGGGCATTTATCCTTTAACATACGCTGTGTCACAGTTTACAAGGACCAGCGCGAGAAAAGAACAGAACAGTACTAATATATCAACAACCACATGTCAAAAAATTAGCCAATGAGAAACGTTCATTGAACGGCATAAATTATCATAATCCTAACAACATCAACCAAATGGAATCCAGTTCTGATGGCCTGGGCACAATTTCTGTAGCTTTAAACAGCGTGTATTAACCCTTGAAGACCCAATATCCAAATACAAATTCTCAATATTCTTTCCCATACATTTCCTTGAGAAATGAGTTGAGAGAAACTCACTCTTTGGTAATCATCACCTTTATTCTTGATTATGTATTGACAGTGTTAGGAGAAAATTGATGTTGATCACTCTTGGGACTCAGCGGCTTAAATTGCATGTGGTTCATCGTTTTCTACATAAACCCTGTTGTAGAGATCAGGAAAGCTCAGGGAAACTTTGTCACCTGAGGCCATAACAGGCCCTTGGCAGCGAGTCAATACGGAGCTTACGCAACGACGTTTTTGAGCGATGCACGTCAACCGGAAGAGAGGCCTTCTCCCTTTTATATACCTTGACGCTAACATATTTGTATTGCTAAGTCCACTTCCGGTTGACGTCCATCGCTCAAAAACGCTGTTGCTTAAGCTCCCTAACCACCATGCTGTAGAGAAAGAGACCCACAGGGAGAAGACAAACATTGAAAGGGGATGGTCGTGGACTGAAACTTAAATTGTGCCCACTAAAATCACCACAACATTTTATGGTAGATGCTCCCTGGCGAAGTGCGTTTGATATCTTCCTCATAACACTATACCAGCATTTTGTCCATGGGAAAAATCACTGACAAACGACTTTAAGCACAGAATTGAACCAAAACAGTAACGTATTCATGACGTAGCCTGCGTCGCAGACGCTCTAAACCTTCTATATACGAGTGCGTGGGCCGGCTGCAACGCAGGCTATCATGACGTAGCCCCTTTAAAATAGCAGTTCCCTTCATAGTATTGTTCCAGAATGTCCCTGCTCTCCAGTAAGGCGCATTTATACCACGTGCATAACTAGCTACAAACGGCTAATTGCTAACGCGTTCAAGTATCTCACCTCAGGTTCTTTAGTTTTGGAAGAAGGTTTTGGTTTCGGAGCCGGTCTGGGGGGAGTGGTCTTGCTGGAGGGAGGAGTCTTTGGCGTTGAAGTTTTCCTCGTGGGCTGAGTTACCTCAGGAGTAACCTCCACGGTGGGTCTGATATAAGAAAATAAAGGCGCTATGTTACGAAATTCATCAAAATTCAAACAGCGGCAACCGCTACCAAATTGAGTGAAACATTAAATAACTACTCAAACCATGGAACGAAAGTATAAATAACACAACACATTATATACAAAAGAAGACAGGGATGGACAAACTTGAAGAAGATTCAAACGGATTGCAATAGGACAATTGCACGATGACGATATTTGAAAACTACCAGAATTCATTTCGGTTTTGCTTTGTTATTTAAATCTGTCAATCCCGCTGACGATTAAAGAACAATAGCCTTAATTTGCACAAGAAAACAACAAACTCAGGAACTCTGGTAGTTGTAGTAAAATGACGTCATCGTGCAATTGTCCTATAGTCCAGTTTCGAGTTCGCTATGACCGCTGCAATGACGAAGTGAAGACGCATTTTTTACAGGCTTAGCCTCTACCTGAAGTTATATATTCACAAATTCCAACGAGAAAAAGACTTGTTTCTTACTCTGTCTATTGTGTATAGTCAAATTTCGAACACATACTTGCCGGAATTGCTGAATATTTCACTTTACGCCGAGGCTAACCCTGTATGAATGTGTGGTTAAAGTTTGTATACAGCGGTAATTTTTAATTCGAAACTGGACTATTGTGGTTTTCGGATACTTGTTTGCCTAACTGATTTTTTTAAAGTTCATAATTGTTGCTTGTAACGTTTGAATGCAAAACCGGAATACTTCAGTTACAAATACTACAAGGACGAATGCAAGATATGACACTTACACGTCCACAGGCTTGTTCCAAAATAACTCAATGTTCTCGTCCTCTGCCTTCTCGTCGCCATTATTAGAAACGTTAGAGGCAGCCGTGCGGTTAGAAGGACGGGTAGGGAGGCGCCTTTTCTGAGGGGGACGAGCGCGGTCTTTTACCAAGTGCTTCAACTCTGAGGCCTTGGGCTCCATATCAGTGAAGTCTGAAATTAGGAACCAGAGAATTATCCCCTTCCTCTAAAGCTACTGTCCACAAACTGATTTAACCATCTCAATCAAAAACGGATTGGTTTAACGGGCAAGAATGCTTGTTTTTGGGGGAAATGGGGTTAAAATCGAAAATGAAAAATTTAAGGTTAGTCAGCTAATGAGCTCAGGGGCACCTTGTTGCGAAAGTGGACTGTCTGGTATTTGTCCACATATTTATCATTATTCCCTTCACAACAACCCCAAATCCAATATTTTCTAATTTTCCACAATCTTCAACGTTCCCCCTTATTTTTTTTATAAAAAAACATTCGATAAATCATCCAAAGATCCTCAAACAATTATTGAACAACTCCGGCAATGATTACGCCCCTATTGAGTCAATTTTTCTTGAATGAAATCTTGGCCAGACAGAAGTGGGTGGGGGGGGGGACTGGGCGGGGTTTGGGAGGGAAGTTTGGCAAGTACTGAATTAAACTGGCGCTTTCCATTGCATTACGATGTTTTTAGCTTTTTCTTAATATTTGTATATGCATAATTCACATTTTATCTTCTTTTGTATTTTTTAGTTTGCCTCTGGCTCGGAAGATTGTGCAAACACTTCCCACGTCTTCGACATTAAATAAATCATTCATTCATTCATTCATTCATTCATTCTGGGAATAGGTGTTATATAATATTAAGTTGAACCTCTCTACCCAATCGGTCCTAAAGATATTACTGCGGAGTTGGAGATCTGTCAGTTGGTTTCGAATGAGGCACAGAACTTTACATACGTTTGTCACATGAAACTAGTTTAGCAAGCCTTAGGATTTCAGTTCCCATGGAAAACAAGTTTTCGGTTCCGTGTCCAGAGATCATGGGAAACCATCAGTAACAATTTTTTGGTTCCGTGAAAATTCATGGGAACCCATCCTCTAAATGTTAGTTTTTTCTTGGCGCTGGAAGCCATAAACCAGCAATGTATAATGCTTTTTTTCAGAATGATTCAAGATGGAACTGATAGATGCTAAACATTTCAGTTTCGTAAATGAGTCATAACTATTGAATTGACCTACTAGTTATAAGACTCTGTGTGGAAAACTAAAGAATTTCTGTAATTGGATCCCTAAGGCTAAATATGGCACTGGAATACTATTTTTTTTGGTTCCGTTATTTTAAGACCACGGTAACCACAAGGTACCGGAAACTTTTGTTACCGTGAAATCCTAGGGCTTAGGTTAGTGGCCTTAGCTCCCTTGAGTCTCCTGTAGCTTTGTGGTAGAGCATCTGGACTAGTAACCAGACGGTCAGAGATTTGACTCCCATAGAAACATTTGGAAGTACTCGGATATCTTCTTCCGAGCCGCCTGTGTCACTGAGCTTGCGAAAGAGGCAAGAAATGAAGTTCCCTCACACTGAATGGAACCTGGGTACGAGTTACAATTTAGGGTATCAGTTTTCACGATAATCACGTGATTCAGTTTTGTTTCTTGCTAAACAGTGCAACAGTGTTTTCTAACCTCCTCCTTTCCCCCCTCCTTCCCGCCCGCCGTGCATAAAGTTCAGGAAGGTTTTTCTACTTTCCTTGTTTGTTGTAAAATTTTGGTGATAGATGGAATTAAAGCACTGTTGCATTGTTGTGTGGCAGACAAATGGCATTCAGTGTGTGAGAAATCATCTTTCTCGTGTATTTACCAGGCTCAAAATTCGCCATCACATCATTATCAGAACTCAACGTTTTTGTGTTCGACAAGATAAAATCTAACCTGCTTTTACAACTATTTGAGGTGGCGACTTTTCCAAGCCGTCTACTCTATCAACCTTGACTTCTTCTTTGTCCTTTTCCTCTTCTTTTTCTTCCTCTAACCTGCCGTGGTGCGGGCGTCTGCTGACCGTGGGTCGTCTCCTGTGGCTCCTACCTCCACCGTCCGTTCCATCTGTTACGGGTACCACTAGCTGTGAAGAACTGAGGCGGTTACGAGCTTTACGAGCAACCTGGAAAAACAAACAATAGGAATAAAATTGAACGGACACAGAGGTGTGTTAGATATCAGTTTCTCTAGTTTCAAAGCAATTGTAGATTCGCCTCCCAGTTTTAGCCATCTAGTATGACATGGGGGAATGTACTATCTAAGATACGTGCTCTCCGTCGAGAAACCGTCACGTCCTGAGTCTTTAAGTCATCATCGACTTGACGAATTAAAACCTGAAGTTGATCTTTTCCCTTCTTAAGTGCCCTTACGTCATAACATTATACTATACTTGATAAAAGAAAAGCTTTTAAGCACTTTATAACATACAGAATCGTTTCCTCAAGCTAAACGCAAAACGTCCGGTTATTATTCATGACTTTCGGGAAGTCATGAGGAAGGTCATTTTCATACGCGACAGACGCGTGACATCTGCTAAGTTTCGTCTTTTAGAATAAGAACTGGGCACTAAACAAATCAGTAAGTAGAACAATACTAAATATAGAAAAAGACACTTTATAATCATAGAATTTGGTAACTGCTCCTGTATTTTCCATTTCAATATTGGTTAGTGCTAACTAAATGGAATATTGCCACTTGAGTGGATAAGTAATAACTTTGGAGCTGTCACTGTTTCTTTTGTTGCATGTAAAATCTAGGAACTATTCACTCGGAATAAAAAAATATTATCTTACAACGACTTTTACAAGCAGTACAGACTTTACCTTCTAAATACCCAATAGGTACTTTGATTTCTCTGGCAGTGCCTGCTACTAATAATAATTTCAATTTATTACCTTTCACTTTCTATTGTTTTTACATAAGAATGTAAGACTTTGCAATCTTTTTTCTTCCGTCCTTTCCTGTAACTTTATGTAAATGTCTATGCCACTTAATTGCACGTGACAGTAAACAACTCGAAAACCTAACCTCCTTTGGTTACCGCTCACATTTTCCCTTCACCATTTATGTCAATTGGAGTTCTTCTTTTTTTCTGTTCTTGTAATATATTGTAATGTATGTATTAACATCTTTAGATAGCGAGAAAATAAATAATTAAAAATAGAAACAAAAAAATCTGAAATCTGAGTGTTAAAATTCGTCAGGTGCGCATGATCAAAGTGCTTCTTACCGCTGCAACATCATCCTCGTCCGCGGCCTTCTCGACGTCTTTCTCCTCTTCCTCCACCTTGTTTCGATAGTCTCTTAGAAGTAGTTCCTGTCACGATATAATTGATCAACATAAGTCAATAGTGTAGCAGAGATTTCATCGCACATTACTTTTGACAAAATCCCTTACGAGAAAAGTCTCCTTGCTCATTCACCACAACATTCTCGAATAAAAAGCAGATATGATAAAACAAGTCTTAACATTTAAGATATTCAAACCGGTGGTACGTAACTTCCCTTAGCATTCAGACGAAATTGGTTATTCATTTTCCCTTTCCTTGTTTAAGAAAATCTTAAGTGAGGATGTCGACTGTCATCAAACCAAGTGTTTTACAGCGGAGTTCTCAATTAAAAATTACAAAATAAAATAAGTAAAAATTAATGAGAAACAAATATGAAGGAAACACTTGAGTGCCCAGCAAAGAATTGGAAAATAACGAAAAGCGTAATGACGGTGAGAATAATTACAAGCTACTGAAATGCACTAACATACGAGAATTCTTGATAAATGAGTTCAAATATGCCATTAGACAAGCCACACTTGAATGCGAAAAAGGGTATTTATCTTAAGGAAATGGCCAAAGAGTTTCAGACATAGGCAGCAAAGTTTTAGAGTTGTCCAATGACCCCATCTTCGAGAGGCAAAAGGCTAAAGATCTACCAGATCTACCTTTATGCTTAGATCTGGTACTGTTATTATACCCATTGTTTTATAAAAAATTAGTTACTGTCTTAATATTACACTAATTACACTAAGAATCCCGTTCGAGTTTTTGTGAAATTTCAATTTCTGTGCATTTTGGTTGATTTCTTACTAACGTGCAATGTTGACATCGATTTATTTCCTGTTCAGAGCGATCGCTTTCACAAACGTTTCGTTATTATTAGTACCACGCTACCTCTAAAATCTTACAGGGGCACTACTTTCGGCTTAATGCAAACCTGAATGTATTTTTTTCCTGCACGCAACATGTTCCATGTTATCTGACTGTCTCTGCGATGTATCATGGAGGTTCGAACTGCTAGGAAAACGGGCTCTATATGAATAGTCTTTTCACAGTGAATGTCAATAGTCTCGCGGGCTCAACTTTTTTTCCTCTTTTTTTTTTTTTTTTTTTTTTCATTTGGCAATGATAATAATTGACAGATCACCTTCTGCAGCTGACAATAAAATCAGTTCCTCTGGATTCCCAATAGTATTTTCTCCTAACAATATTTATTCATCCTCAAAGGAAAAAGTTTCGAGAATTTTAATACAGTGATCACCAAAGGGAAAATGCTCTGATCTTTAATTAAATTCTCTCAACTAATTCTTCAAGAAAATGTATGGAGATCAGTCTTGGAAATCTGTTTGTGGATATTGGTGCTTCAAGAGTCAACAAGTGATATCGTCATTCACGTAACAAGAAACTAGTTGGATAACCGCAAAGAAATGTCATTTAACGACAAAATTTCACTGCATTAAAAAAGGAAATCACTCTTGTAGAGTCTGATGTACAGATTGCTGAAAGGTGACAATTCATAAAAGCAATGAACACAAGGTTATAGAATAAGTGATCAAGCAGAACAATTGTCACTTACATGAGCCGTGTCACTGAATTTATCAAAAATTCAGTAAGCGCTTCCATCAAGTTGAGTTATATATACAAATAAACGCTCAAAACCGCTCAATGAAGGCATAAATAAAATAGCAAATAAAAAAGAACGCTCTTGTGGACAAAATGGAAGAAGATGAAAACGGATTGCAATTGTGGTTTTTGAAAACTTGCTAGCGCAACAACTTTTTTAAAGTTCATTTTTGTTGCTGATGACGTTTGATGTGATGTATTGGAAGAGAAATTTGTTTGATGCAGATAATGTTAAGTTCCTTCGCGCATTGAGCCGCGTTGTTGGCCATATTAACAGAAAACTTAATGAACTAGATAGCCGTGATACATTCCCTTTGACAGGATGTGTAATAATAAACATTTCCTGTTAACATGGCGCACAGCCAAAACATCCACCTCAGGGCGACTTTCCCACACTTATTCATTAGAGTTGTTGTACGCCGTTTACAATTTCACTGCAAGACACATCCTCATCAGCGAAGCTGAGGGAACAGAGACGAAGTTTTAAAAAACGAAGTTTGGTTATAATGCAGTTACTAGTATCTTCTCTTGGGTTATGTTCACACGGCATGGGGCGAATTTTCCTGCGTTCACACGGACCCACCTTAACCGTACGAAAATTTAGACCCCTGGCCGCCCAAATTTCCGTCTGAACAGATCGAAAATATTGAACGGTTCCGCGTGAACAAAGTGTCTTGTCAAATTTTTCAGCCGGTCGAAATTCGTCCGATACCGAATGAGCGTAGCCATGATGTGGCACAAAACAGTCTGCCCACTCGTTCGCACTCACCAGTTTGCTTGCGCTGTTCTCAAGCTGATGTATCACCATCTCCATGATCACGTCAGCCATAACAGATGCTGATGTGAGTTTGTTTTCACTGTAAAACAAAGTCAAGGGATTAAATGTTTATAGGCGAGTGAGTCGACTGAACTGGAAACGTGTAACTAAGAGCGCCCGGCAAGGATGTCGCTGATATCGCTACTATTCCTTTTGAGCAGTCGGCAAAAAAAGTGTGAAATAAAGAGATGAACGAGAGAGGACGAAGGCGATTTTGTCAGACGGCAGAAATAACTAAGAAGAGGTAACTCTTCGCGGATTCCTATCCTGCCGAGTTTTATCTCGGGTTATTTCTAGGAGTGGGTGGGTTTCGTCACTAAGGTTATTGCCAACTCTTGATCAATGCTCTATGACCGTTTCACTCCCAGAGGTGGTCAAAATCATAGTTCGACAAAATTTCCAAATTCCATTTTGTAAATGCTGAAAAAACAAATAGAGCCATGTGACGGTACTCGCAGAGAGGTACAGTTTGAATGGTCACAGTACAGCATTTTGACCACAGACTCAAAAGTTAGAACCGCCTTTCCAGACTCCATCTTTGATACTGAGAAGGAAAAGGTCAAAGCAAGACAGAATAATGGACAACTGCAGAGCGGGAAGTCGCGGGTTCGATCCCAGGGCCGGACCAGCACTTAAGGTCTTAAAATAACTGAGAAACGAAGGTACTCCTCTGTACTGCAAGCGGCTGGACCTTCGCGTGGCTCGAATGACCACGAAAAATGGCGGTCCCGTCTCCGTTAGGAGACGTAAAAATAGTGACCCCAATTAGCACTTTTGTGCTAAATACATTGACACTCAAATAAAGTGCATTTTTTTAAAACGTCATCAAGTCCACGCGACTGCCTCAAAGCAAACAAGGCAGAATATTGTAATGGCGACACAGTAAGAAATCATACTGTCCCATTATTCTCTCGATAATACAGAATAATAAATTGTGGACCTCTATGGAAACCAACTTCCGATTAATTTCAAGCGTTTAATAGGTCCTAAAATTAAAAAATACCAAGGAGCTAGACTGTGCGTTTCCTCACCGTTCCACTTCTCTCCTCTTGGTTAAAGAGGTTATTCAGAAAGAGGTTTCTCCTGAAGTTTTACCTTAGTCTATTAACGATTCCTGCAGCAGCTTGAGACAGTATCACCTCCTGTACAAATGTTTCACTAAGCTGTGACTTGTCTTGTACAACTGCTTCAAGACGGCTCTTCACGTCCTAACAGCGGCAAAGAAAAGGGTATTTTGAAAATGACTAAGCAGAGAACAGCATGACACCGTAAAAAGACAGTTATAGGTGAACCCGTCCATCTGCATGCAAATGAAAACATTATTCCGCTAATAAGCTACCTCCCACCCCGCTAAAAGAAACCCCTCCCCAGACACACCGATAGGAAAGTGGAACAATGTCGTAGCTTACAGCATCTCTCGATAGTATTTTTTTGTACTGCTTTTATAAAAGAACCCTTCGTCCATAAGCTCACCCAAATCCCATTATGAAGTTGTGCAAGGCCAGGGCTTAAGTTACTTGTGTACAAACCAGGCGATTTCCCACTGAAACATAATGGAGCAATATTATAAGATAACGTAAAAAAAAAAAAAAACATCGTAGCTTACGTCTGAAGAAGTGACATAAGGACAAGCTTCTTTTGCACAATCAATCATCTTGTCTAAGTTGCTCTAGAGGAAAAGATAAATTGATTAGATTACAACACGTCTCCCCCTATTCCCTTTTGGTCGTGCGACAGTCCTGGGTCTAGTCACCAACAAAAAAGACGGTATCCTTTCTAGCTCTGGACGTGGCCACCCCGCCAAGATGAAAACAGAAGCGAAAAGAGAATAGAATGGGAAGAGAAGAGCGCGTATTTTCTTTCTGTGTATGTCCGAAGCCGAAAGAAAACATGGTCCTCTCGCTCCAGGAAAGAAAACATACCCAGTTTCTGAACTGCAAAAAATGGTTTGGGAAGTGTTAGTTATTTTTCCGTCATATGACCAGAAAACAGCTTTAGAAGTAAAACAGAGGACCAATTGAGGGAGAGGGGGAAGGCGGAGGGGGAGGGGGTACAATGAGCGCACCGTTTGCCTCAGTTTTGCCAGTTGAAGTACTGTTGCGGGTTACCGACATAAAATAATGACCTGCACCTTTTACCTTGACCTTATTTTTAGTTACTTAGTGTTACAGTGTTCTACACGGTATTATAGGGAGCTACACGGTGTCACGTGGTGGTACATGGTGTTACACGGTGTTTACATAGTGTTAGAGGGTGTTACACAGTGTTACATTGTGTTACATAGTGTTACACGATGTTGACTTAGTGTTACAGGGTTCTACACGGTATTACAGGGCGTTTCACGGTGTTACATGGTGTTACACGGTGTTGACATAGTATCGGAGGGTGTTGTACGGTGCCACACAGTGTTAGATGGTGTTACACGGTGTTGACATAGTGTTACAGGCTGTTAAACGGTGTTACATTGTGTTGAGATATTGTTACATAGTGTTACACTGTGTTACAAAATGGTACATGGTGTTACGTGGTGCTGACATAGTGTTGCGAGGTGTTAAAGGGTGGTACATGGTGTTGACGTAGTGTTACAGGGTGTTATACGGTGCTGACATACTGTTAGTTTGAGGTTATCTTTTACCCCAGCATCCACTTTCAGTCTTGTTCCCGTGTGGAAAGTGTCTTATAAGCGATGGCCCTTTCTCTTACCTTCATTTTATCTTCCGCCGCTTTGTAGAACTCAGTAGCAAGCTCAGCAAACCGCGCCTCGATATCGCTGTCATTTGTACACAAATGAAACTTCAGGAGAAGCTATTAATTAAAACAAAGATATAATGTAGAAATAAAAAAATTGGAAAGATAAATAGACTTGCACAAACACTGAGAGTACGAGACAGTATGCGTTATAACGGGTTCTTATTGAACATATATATTCCGCTGGAAAGTTTTCACCAACAGCACGCGCTCTCTTTGACTACTTCGAGATCACATGATATCTAACGATAAAACGATAAAACTGTTTCCCGCCAAACGTTTCTGAGCGAATCTATAACGTCAGAGGGAACAGCGGCTTGTTACCCGCGAATGTTGTCCGCTCGCTGAAGTCCCTTCTCCGTGGGCTATGTAACAAATCACTTGATGACTGGTAATTTATTGTTTTATGCAAGATGGTAATTGGGCCCGCTCGGGCGATTGGAACCGCCGGTGGAAGGCACACAAGAATAACGAAATAATAAAGAAGAAGGGGAATCTATATGTACTAAACTATGTTGTGCTGTCTCGAACAAAATAAACTTAAGAGCGGTCATTCTTTGAATGAGAGATTCTCATGCACCAGCCTTTAGCCAGGGGCAGTGTTCTTAAAAGTCTATGTATTAAGAATAAAGATGATATAAATGTCTAAGTATTGTTTCTATGTTTTTCGTCCCCCCCCTTCCCCTGCCTCCTTCTTCAGGCCTAGGGTCTACCCCACGGGTTACTATTTCTACTCTCCCCTATCCTCTTCTGACAAAAAAAATCAAAGATGGCGGCTACGGCGTTACGAACTTGAACAAGGAGCCGTCACTTGCCCCCCAAAATACGCCCGCATTACAGCCTCGTTTCTAAATTTCCTAAGTTTTTTCGAGCACCTGCTTGAGTTTGTCTGCATCTTGAATAAAATGTTTGGCTGTTTTGATCTCGTTTTTCACGTCAGCTTCCTTTGAGAGTCGGAGTTCACTGATGAGATCTTGTAGCTGAACAACTAAGCGATCCACCATCTAAAAAAAAAAACACAAAAAGAGAAGTATGGAAACTGTTCAGAACAACTGACGTACGTCCACAAGTGACGTATTATACCTGCAAACGTCTGGTTATGAGAGAGCCCTTGGATATATGCCTCCCTGTTAAAAACTACTCCCTTCACAACCTACCCCTTCCCAAGTCTCTCTGTAACCAAACAGCAGATATATTCCGCGGATATTATTCCTACTTTTGTGGGATGTGGTATAATTATCAAAGAAAAAGTAGGATGTAGAACAATGTCTGCTTTATGGACACCCACCCGCTTAATCCAGACACTTTTCTTTGTCCCTGGAAAAGTCCTTTACATTTTTTCTAAATTCAACCCGCTTAATACGGAAACCCGTTAATGCAGAAACCAGATACTCATAGAAAGCCAACTTCGCTAATGCCGACATATCAATATCAACTGCGTGCTGTGACAAACCTTGGGTCAACTTTTTTTTAAGTTTTATGGTTAGTGCTCCCTGATGAAGTGTGTTTGATATCTTCTTCATAGCACTACAGGAGCATTTTCTGTGCTGGCAAAGGTACTATTGAAGTAATGACTTCAGCATAGAATTGACCTAAAACAGCAATATCCTGGTCACATAGCCCCTTTAAACATGTGCAGAGTTGGTTTCTTTGCTTTTCTTACCTGCTGCTGGGAGGATGCAAGTAATAGACCCTGGTGTAGTCTGTAGGCTTGATCTGTCACTATTTTTTGAGGGGACTGGTTTCTGAGCAGCAACTTCTCGATCTGAAACAACCAACATATTTATGAAACAATAAACTTGTCGAGTCAATGCGAATCGCTTTCATCACTGTTTTTGAAGATTAAAGTGGAAGACTGTCTTTGCTCCAGAGCATGCAAAACCTTGAAATATGAAGTTTGCCCTGAGTGGTTTTAAGGTGTTTATTGAGCAGTTAAAAAGGAACTTTCAATTTCAGTGAAACTTTGTAAATAGCAACAACACGAAGTTAGCAAAACCGGGATGGACACGTTTTCCCGCGTAACGTTTGAGTCCTTATGTTAAAACGACATGGAGAAGCCAAAAGATGTACTACTCGCACTCAGTTTGGGAGCTTCAACAGCTTAACAACAATCAACATCTTACCTGTCTTGGCGCTGAAATTATTATACGCATCATTCCCTGCCTATTAGTTAATTTTTTGCCATGGAATCCTATATTTCCACTGGATTGTTAATTGAGCACCATTTAAGAAATAAAGCACGGAGGGAAGGAACAAGAGATATAAAAAGTTTTCAGTAAAGTAGATAAGCTAAGGTTTATAACCGTGAGAAAACTTGTCACCTTTCTCAAGTATTGCTCTGTCTGAGGTTTGAGTGACTGGGCAGCATCGTACAGCGGCATCGGCATGGACAGGAGAGTAAAATTACTGCAAGTAATCAGCGGAGTGGATAGAAATTAGTCACATGTGTATTGATTAAGGTGGCTCTATACAGTTTTTCAGGGTCAATACCTCCCAAGTTTGAGCATAAACTACGTCGCAATAAACAAGTTTTGGAAAAATTGCCACCACAGTTGTATTAGATAAAAATGAAAACTTGTCATGATCAGGGTTACTCCCGTCATCAACCAGTTTTATTTACATAACCATACGAATTTACAGTTTTTTGCAAAAGCTAAAATAGATTAAAACAATATATTAATCACAGTAATGTAAAATAAGAAACAATACTAAACTATTGGTCTTAACAACGGTAAAAATGAGTCATTGGTAACTGATCACAATTGATTATTCCACATAACAGAAAATAAAGTAACTAGAAATTTTAAAGGCGATTTTGTCAAAATATGGGTGGAGATAATCATTGCGGAATTAATTTGAAAGCCCCAACCATCGTAGATATCCTCACAGGTTAGAAAATAATGAAGAAACGGCTTGATGGAACGCGATCGGCACCTTTTACAAGGCTGAAATTGTTTGCTCATTTTGAGAGAATAAACAAACCCGGTTGCGATCACTTGCATTGGCAGCTTTTAACGGCTGTTTGCCCCTTGAGAAACTACGCGACACTACTTTTATCCCATTAATCCTTACGCCCCTGCCAAGATGGCGGATATCGTGAACAACGTCCACTGTTGTACGCAATATTGCAAAGTCTAAATTAAACCTCGGGCCAAAAAAAGTCGCTCGTCGCACGCTTGGTAGCCATTAAGTAAACGTTGGCCTAATGTTTCGCCTGACGTTCAAATTAATAAAACTAACTTCTCAAGAGCGGCTGCGATGTCTGCAAATCCTCTGTACGTTGTCCCATTCTTATCCCACACAAGCGTTCTGAAAAGTAAACAGACATAATAATATCGAAATGCAGTAAAAACCGGTAGAAATGTACCGTTATTTCCTGTTGCGGGCTGCAATAGTTTTAAAATAACTAAACTGAACCATTATTTCTGAAATTCAATAGATGCCAAGACACGTATAACCTTTTTACAAAAGATAGCAAATAGCTTGATATTGCCCCTTTCTTAAAAATAACAGTAAAAACATGACAACAATTGTAATGTGTTTACACAATACAAGAATATGAGAGCTTAGTATTGATGAAAGACTGAAATTTTTTACCTTCTATTTGTACAGTGTAACCGCGTTAATACGGTCACTACTGGGCCAAAAAAAATTGGCCGTATTACCGGGGCAGGCTCAAATTTCATGACTTGAGGGCCGTAATGCCATACGTAGCTAAACGATAAACCGATAATCGATAATTTTCACCGTAATCGATATCAATCCGTAGATCGGTAGATCTGCAGATCGATGTTTCTGTGGATCGATGGCTCTGTACATCCTGGTTGGTGAATCTGTAGATCGGTGGATTATAAATCGGTGGATCTGTAGATCGATGGATCTGTAGCTTAATATGTTGGTCGTTTCTAGACAAAGAATTGCTACTGTCACACAAGGACAAGAGCTTGATCTTCTTATAAACGGAATTTCATTTTAAAAAACGTAGGCAGTAGCAAACGTTTAGGTGTAGAAATTGACGAGTTTCTGACGTTAGATAGTAACATTACAAGTGTTTCGAAAAAGGTATCATCTGGAACAGGAGTTTTAAAAAAGATTAGGCCATTTGTTCCTACTTTCAACCTGATAAGTGTTTATCAGCCGATTGTCGAACCGTACTTTGACTATTGTAGTATTATGTGGGGACGCCATCAGCGACCGTCTCATCGACAAACTTCAAAAGTTGCAAAATCGTGCTACACGAATAATCACAGGTGCTGATTATCTGACCTCGACAACTGAATTGTTAAGTAGGCTCGGTTGGACTAATCTTAAAGAGAGGAGAAACCAACAAAAAGCTCTTATGATGTTTAAAATTTTTAATGGTATGACCCCAGCCTATTTAGAGGAAATTTTTGCGAGTAATATTGGACGATCGATATATAATCTTAGGACCCCAAGGTGGAATTTAGCTTTGCCAGCAGTTAAAACAAATTACTACCGGAATAGCTTTGCCCAGACTGGGGCTAAAGTTTGGAATGCGCTACCGGACAATTTGAAGGGTGAAAAATCCACTGCAGCTTTTAAAAACAAATTAGAATCCTCGATCTCTTTATCGATTTTTAGCTTTACACTGTAATCAAACGTTTCACTTTATTTTGTTCATAGATAGTTCATAAAAATACTTCAGATATTGATATATATTTGTATATATTTTAAATAGTGTTTTTGTAACATTGTAATTCACGGCTTTTCAAAAGAACAACAGTGCAACTTATTGTAATTTTTGATTAAAGTCACTGTGATTGAATAAAATTTTCCATTCTATTCTATTCTAATTCTATTCTATTCTATTCTTTATCCGTGGATCAGTAGATCGATGGCTCCGTAGATTGCTGGAACGGTGAACTAGCAGATCGCTAGATTGGTGAATCTTTAGAATTCTAGAACGGTGGATCTGTAGATAGCTAGATCTTTGGATCTGGAGATCTCTTGATCGGCGCGCGGATCGGTAGATCGCTAGATTAGTGGATCTGTAGATTGCTAGATCAGTGGATCTGTAGATCGCTAGATCGGTGGATCTGTAGATCGATAGAAAGGTACAACGGCAGACCGCTAGATCAGTGGATCGTTTAATCGGTGGATCTGTACATCGATAGATCTGTAGATCGCTAGATAGGTGAATCAGTAGATCGCCTTATCGGTAGATCTGTAGATCGCTAGATCGGTAGATCGGTAGCTGGATCGGTAGATCGCTTAATCAGTGGATCTGTAGATCGCCTAATCGGTGGATTTGTAGATCGCTGGATCGGTAGATCAGTAGATCGCTAGATCGATGGATCAATAGATCACTAGATCAGTGGACCTGCAGCTCGCTAGATCAGTGGATCGGTGGATCGCTTGATCGGTGCGTCTGTAGATCGCTAGATCGGTAGATTTCTAGATCGCTACATCGGAGGATCTGTAGATCCCTGGATCGGTGGATCTGTAGATCGGTAGCTCTGTAGATCAGTTAACCTGTAGATCGCAAGATCGGTGGATGGGTGGATCAGTAGATCGATAGATCGGTAGATCAATGGATCTGTAGATCGCTAGATCAGTGGATTGCTAGATCGCTTGATCGGTTGATCTGTAGATCGCTATATCGGTGGATCTGTAGATCGCTAGATAAGTGGAACAATAGATCTGTAGGTCGCGAGATCGGAGAATCTGTAGATCGCTAGATCGGTGAATCTGCAGATCGCTAGATCGGTAGATCGCTGCATCGGTAGACCTATGGATCGCTATATCGCTAGAACAGTGGATATGTAGATCGCTAGATCGGTGGAAGGTAGATCCCCTGATCGGTGGATCACTAGTTGGCTATATCGGTGGACCGGTGGATCTGTAGATCGCTAGATCGGTAGATTTGTAGGTCGCTAGATCGGCGGAAGGTAGATCCCTTGATCGGAGAATCTGTAGATCACTAGATGAGTGGATCTTTAGATCGCTAGATCATTGGATCTGCAGATCCCTGGATCGGTGAATCGATAGATCTTTAGATCGCTAGATCGGTGAATTTCCAAATCGCTAGATCCGTGGATGGGTGGATCAGTAGATCGAAAGATCGGTAGATCAATGGATCTGCAGATCGCTAGATCAGTGGATCGGTAGATCGCTTGATCAGTTGATCTGTAGATCCCTATATCGGTGGATCTGTAGATCGCTAGATCGGTGAATCTGTTGATCGCTACATCGGTGGATCGGTAGATCGGTAGATCTGTAGATCGGTGAATCAGTGGATCTGTAGATCGCTAGATCGGTAGACCAATAGAGCTGTAGATCACTAGATCTATGGATCTGTAGATCGCTAGATCTATGGATCGCTGGATCTGAAGATTGCTATATCAGTGGATCTGTAGATCACTAGATCGGTGAATCTGTAGATCGCTAGATCGGCAGATCACTTGATAACTGGATCTGTAGATCGCTAAAACGGTGGAGCTGTATATCACTAGATCTATAAATCTGTAGATTGCTAGATAGCTAGATCGGTAGATCTGTGGATAGGTGGATCTTTAAAGCGCTAGATAGGTGGATCTGTAGATCGCTAGATCGGTGGATCGGTAGATCACTTGATAAGTGGATCTGTAGATCGCTAAACCGGTGGAGCTGTAGATCACTAGATCTATGGATCCGTAGATCGCTAGATCCCAAGATCTGTGGCTCGCTGGATCTGTAGATTGCGAGATCCGTGGATCTGTAGATCGCTAGAACAGTGAAGCTGTAGAGCCCTAAATCTATGGATCTGTAGATCGCTTGATCGGTGGATCAGTAGATCGCTATATCGGTTGATCTGTAATTCGCTAAATCAGTGAATTTGTAGATCGCTAGATCGGTGGATCACCTGATAAGTGGATCTGTAGATCGCTAGAATGGTGGAGCTGAAGATTACTAGATCTATGGATCTGTAAATCGCTAGATCGGTGGATCTGTAGATCGCTAGATCGGTGGATCGGTAGATCACCTGATAAGTGGATCTGTTGATCGCTAGAACGGAGGAGCTGTAGATCACTAGATCTATAGATCTGTAGATCGCTAGATCCCAAGATCTAAGGCTCGCTGGATCTGTAGATTGCTAGATCCGTGGATCTGAAGATCGCTAGATCGGTAGATCACTTGATAAGTGGATCCGTAGATCGCTAAAACGGTGGAGCTGTAGATCACTAGAGCTATGGATCGGTAGATCGCTAGATCGGTAGATCTAAGGATCGGTGGATCTGTAGATCGCTAGATCGGTTGATCACTTGATAAGTGGATCTGTAGAGCGCTGGAACCGTGGAGCTGTAGATCACTAGATCTATGGATCTGTAGATCGCTAGATCAGTGGATCTGTAGATCGTTAGATCGGTGGATCGGTAGATCGCTTGATAAGTGGATCTGTAGATCGCTAGAACGGTGGTGGAGCTGTAGATCACTAGATCTATGGATCAGTACATCGTTAGATCGCTAGATCTGTGGCTCGCTGGATCTGTAAATTGCTAGATCCGTGGATCTATACATCGCTAGATCGGTGGATCTGAGGATCGCTAGATTGGTAGATCACTTGATAAGTGGACCTGTACATCGCTAGAACGGTGGAGCATTAGATCACTAGATCTATGGATCTGTAGATCGCTAGATTTGTGGCTCGCTGGATCTGTAGATTGCTAGATCCGTGGATCTGTAGATCGCTAGATCGGTGGATCTGTAGATCGCTAGACCGGTGGATCGGTAGATTACTTGATAAGTGGATCTGTAGATCGCCAGAACGGTGGAGCTGTACATTACTAGATCTATGGATCTGTAGATCGCTAGATCGGTGGATCACTTGATAAGTGGATCTGTAGATCGCTAGAACCGTGGAGATGTAGATCACTAGATCTATGGATTTGTAGATCGCTGGATCAGAGCATCTGTAGATCGTTAGATCGGTGGATCGGTAGACCACTTGATAAGTGGATCTGTCGATCGCCAGAACGGTGGAGCTGTAGATCACTAGATCTATGGATCTGTAGATCGCTAGATCGGTGGATCGGTGGATCTGTAGATCGCTAGATCGGTGGATTACTTGATAAGTGGATCTGTAGATCGCTAGAACGGTGGAGCTGTAGATCACTAGATCTATGGATCTGTAGATCCCTAGATCGCTAGATCGGTAAATCTGTGGATCTGTAGATTGCTAGATCGGTGGATCGGTGGATCTGTAGATCGCCAGAACGGTGGAGCTGTAGATCACTAGATCTAGGGATCTGTAGATCGCTAGGTCGGTGGATCTGTAGATCGCTAGATCGGTGGATCACTTGATAAGTGGATCTGTAGATCGCTAGAACGGTGGAGCTGTAGATCACTAGATCTATGGATCTGTAGATCGCTAGATCGCTAGATCGGTAAATCTGTGAATCGGTGGATCTGTAGATCGCTAGATCGGTGGATCAATTGATAAGTGGATCTGTAGATCGCTAGAACGGTGGAGCTGTAGATCACTAGATCTATGGATCTGTAGATCGCTAGATCGGTGGATCTGTAGATCGCTAGATCGGTATGTTACTTGATAAATGGATCTGTAGATCGCCAGAACGGTGGAGCTGTAGATAGCTAGATCTATGGATCTGTAGATCGCTAGATCGCTGGATCTGTAGATTGCTAGATCGGTGGATCTGTAGATCGGTAGATCGGTGTATCTGTAGATCGCTAGATCGGTGGATCGGTAGATCACTTGATAAGTGGATCTGTAGATCGCCAGAACTGTGGAGATGTAGATCACTAGATCTATGGATCTGTAGATCGCTAGATCGGTGGATCTGTAGATCGCTAGATCTATGGATCGGTAGATCGCTAGATCGCTAGATCTGTGCATCGGTGGATCTGTAGATCGCTAGATCAATGGATCACTTGATAAGTGGATCTGTAGAGTGCTAGAACCGTGGAGCTGTAGATCACTAGATCTATGGATCTGTAGATCGCTGGATCAGTGGATCTGTAGATCGTAAGATCGGTGGATCGGTAGATCAAGTCAAGTCAAGTCAAGTCAATCTTTATTTAAACACGGTAAAATCCATCAGGAATTTAAAAAATTAAAAATAACCTAACTATCCTAAACAAAATTAAAACCTGACTACAACTAATCTAACTAAAACCTGTTTTTCATGAATGCCGTGTATAACATTAAAAGTGAACATTAACTAATCTTTTAAATTGACTAAGAGATTCGGCTTCTCTCACATGACAGGGTAGGCTGTTCCAGAGAACTGCTCCGCTATAAGTAAAGCTGTTTTTCATGAAATTAGTTCGCGGAAATGGGACAAATAGTTTGTTAACAGAGTCCCTCAGGGAGTAACGCGTTTCATTTCGTTTAACAAACTTAGATGATAAATATTCAGGAACAAGGCCATTTGAAGACTTGTATACCATTATGGATTTCTGTATTTGAAATTGAGTGCTCAAGTCTTTCCAATCGAGTTGTCTAATCAAACGGTTAGCATCAGCATCATAGCTAGAGAAGGTTAAAACGCGAGCGGCACGGTTCTGAAGCTTCTGTAGCCTGTCAAATAATGTTTTACCACAATTACCCCAGACAAGATTGCAATAATCGAAATGAGATTGAATTAGTGAGTTGTATATATAGTGAAGGGTAGGTGGAGGGACAAAAGGTCTAATTCTTTTTATTGCTCCAATTCCGGAAGCGACCTTTTTTTTAGATAATTTATCAATGTGTTTTTGCCACCGTAGATTTTCATCAATAAATATTCCAAGCGATTTGACAGAGGAAACGTGTTCTATCGGAACATTATTAATCGAGAGCTCAAGTGGGTTCGACAAAGTACTCAATTTTGTCTGGAGCCAATTAGCATGAATTCAGTTTTAGAAGTGTTCAAAGTAAGTTTATTGGAAATAAGCCATTTGTTTAGGTTATCTAAATCGTGACTCAGAGTTAACTGTATTGAATTCACATCAACGCCAGCATAAGTAATGTGGGTGTCATCGGCATACATTCTAGGCTGGCACGAAGTAAAACAGTTTGGCAAGTCATTAATATAAATAAGAAATAAAAGGGGCCAAGGATTGTTCCTTGCGGTAACATTTAAGAGAAGATTCTAGAAAGAGAACCGTTAACAAGACATCGTTGTGTACGATTAGTTAAATACGACCTAAACCAATCAAGAGCTGTACCTTGTATTCCGTAAAGGTTCATTTTAGCTAGAAGGATATCGTGGTCAACGGTGTCGAAAGCCTTTTTAAATCGAGGAAAACCACAGCATTAACGCCACGATCAATATTAAAGGCCCAATTATCCGTAGCTTCCAGAAGGGCAGTTGCAGTTGAGTGTAACGAGAGAAAACCCGATTGATGATTAGAAATGATATCTTCATTGGTCAAAAAGTTATACAACTGATCATAAACAATCCTTTCAAACACTTTAGCTATAACGGAAATGACTGAAATAGGTCGATAATTATTCAGATCAGATGGCTCACCTTCCTTGAACAACGGAGTAACTCTAGCACATTTCCAATCATCAGGAAATATACCAGAGACTAAAGATTTATTAAAGAGATCACATAGTGAAACTGAAATAAGATCAGCATCTTCACGTACAATTTTAGCAGAAATATTATCAAGACCAGTTGCTTTAGATCGACATAATTTGTTTAGATGTGAGAAAACAATGCTGCAGTTAGTCGAGGAGAAGCTGAAATTGTTGTTATTTACCTTTATATTATTGATATAACTTGAATTATTTTCAGCAGTTAGAGGTATTTCATTAGCAAGTCTGGGCCCAATTGTTGAAAAATGGTCATTAAAAGCATCAGAAAGCTCACTAGAATTAGAGATAATGGTATCATTCAATTTCAGTTCTTTCACCGTTGTATTATTCACACGACGGGATGTAAGCTCATTAAAGGTTTGCCACGTTTTTCGAGGATTACCCTTAGATTGAATAAATGCATTAGAATAATAAGATGCTTTAGAAATTTTGATCGGTTGATAAGTGGATCTGTAAATCGCTAGAACGGTGGTGGAGCTGTAGATCACTACATCTATGGATCAGCAGATCGTTAGATCGTTAGATCTGTGGCTCGCTGGATCTGTAGATTGCTAGATCCGTGGATCTATAGATCGCTAGATCGGTGGATCTGAGGATCGCTAGATCGGTAGATCACTTGATAAGTGGATCTGTAGATCGCTAGAACGGTGGAGCTGTAGATCACTAGATCTATGGATCTGTAGATCGCTAGATCGCTAGATTTGTGGCTCGCGGGATTTGTAGATTGCTATATCCGTGGATCTGTAGATCGCTAGATCGGTGGATCTGTAGATCGCTAGACCGGTGGATCGGTAGATTACTTGATAAGTGGATCTGTAGATCGCCAGAACAGTGGAGCTGTAGATCACTAGATCTATGGATCTGTAGATCGCTACATCGGTGGATCGGTGGATCTCTAGATCTCTAGATCGGTGGATCACTTGATAAGTGGATCTGTAGATCGCTAGAACGGTGGAGCTGTAGATCACTAGATCTATGGATCTGTAGATCACTAGATCGGTAAATCTGTGGATTGGTGGATCTGTAGATCGCTAGATCGGTGGATCACTTGATAAGTGGATCTGTAGATCGCTAGAACCGTGGAGCTGTAGATCACTAGATCTATGGATCTGTAGATCGCTGGATCAGTGGATCTGTAGATCGTTAGATCGGTGGATCTGTAGATCGGTAGATCGCTAGATCGGTAAATCTGTGAATCGGTGGATCTGTAGATCGCTAGATCGGTGGATCAATTGATAAGTGGATCTGTAGATCGCTACAACGGTGGAGCTGTAGATCACTAGATCTATGGATCTGTAGATCGCTAGATCGGTGGATCTGTAGATCGCTAGATCGGTATGTTACTTGATAAATGGATCTGTAGATCGCCAGAACGGTGGAGCTGTAGATAGCTAGATCTTTGGATCCGTAGATCGCTAGATCGCTGGATCTGTAGATTGCTAGGTCGGTGGATCTGTAGATCGGTAGATCGGTGTATCTGTAGATCGCTAGATCGGTGGATCGGTAGATCACTTGATAAGTGGATCTGTAGATCGCCAGAACTGTGGAGCTGTAGATCAGTAGATCTATGGATCTGTAGATCGCTAGATCGGTGGACCTGTAGATCGCTAGATCGGTGGATTTGTAGATCGCTAGACCGGGGGATCGGTGCACCACATGATGAGTGGATCTGTAGATCGCCAGAACAGTGGAGCTGTAGATCACTGGATCTATGGATCTGTAGATCGCTAGATCGGTGGATCTGTAGATAGCTAGATCTATGGATCGGTAGATCGCTAGATCGCTAGATCGCTAGATCGGTAGATCTGTGGATCGGTGGATCTGTAGATCGCTAGATCGGTGGATCACTTGATAAGTGGATCTGTAGAGCGCTAGAACCGTGCAGCTGTAGATCACTAGATCTATGGATCTGTAGATCGCTGGATCAGTGGATCTGTAGATCGTTAGATCGGTGGATCGGTAGATCGCTTGATAAGTGGATCTGTAAATCGCTAGAACGGTGGTGGAGCTGTAGATCACTACATCTATGGATCAGCAGATCGTTAGATCGTTAGATCTGTGGCTCGCTGGATCTGTAGATTGCTAGATCCGTGGATCTATAGATCGCTAGATTGGTGGATCTGAGGATCGCTAGATCGGTAGATCACTTGATGAGTGGATCTGTAGATCGCTAGAACGGTGGAGCTGTAGATCACTAGATCTATGGATCTGTAGATCGCTAGATCGGTAGATTTGTGGCTCGCTGGATCTGTAGGTTGCTATATCCGTGGATCTGTAGATCGCTTGATCGGTGGATCTGTAGATCGCTAGACCGGTGGATCGGTAGATTACTTGATAAGTGGATCTGTAATCGCCAGAACGGTGGAGCTGTAGATCACTAGATCTATGGATCTGTAGATCGCTACATCGGTGGATCGGTGGATCGGTGGATCTCTAGATCTCTAGATCGGTGGATCACTTGATAAGTGGATCTGTAGATCGCTAGAACGGTGGAGCTGTAGATCACTAGATCTATGGATCTGTAGATCGCTAGATCGGTAAATCTGTGGATTGGTGGATCTTTAGATCGCTAGATCGGTGGATCACTTGATAAGTGGATCTGTAGATCGCTAGGACCGTGGAGCTGTAGATCACTAGATCTATGGATTTGTAGATCGCTGGATCAGTGGATCTGTAGATGGTTAGATCGGTGGTGGGTGGATCTGGTGGATCGCTGATCGTGGATCACTTGATCTATGGATCTGTAGATCGCTAGAACCGTGGAGCTGTAGATCACTAGATCTATGGATCTGTAGATGGCTCGATCAGTGGATCTGTAGATCGTTAGATCGGTGGATCTGTAGATCGGTAGAACGGTGGTGGAGCTGTAGATCACTAGATCTATGGATCAGTAGATCGCTAGATCGCGAGATCTGTGGCTCGCTGGATCTGTAGATTGCTAGATCCGTGGATCTGTAGATGGCTAGATCGGTGGATCTGTAGATCGCTAGATCGGTGGATCTGAAGATCGCTAGATCGGTAGATCACTTGATAAGTGGATCTGTAGATCGCTAGAACGGTGGAGCTGTAGATCACTAGATCTATGGATCTGTAGATCGCTAGATCGCTAGATCTGTGGCTCGCTGGATCTGTAGATTGCTAGATTCGTGGATCTGTAGATCGCTAGATCGGTGGATCTGTAGATCGCTAGATCGGTGGATCAGTAGATCACTTGATAAGTGGATCTGTAGATCGCTAGAACGGTGGAGCTGTAGATCACTAGATCTATGGATCTGTAGATCGCTAGAGCGGTGGATCGGTAGATCACTTGATAAGTGGATCTGTAGATCGGTAGATCGGTGGATCTGTAGATCGCTATGTCACTTGATAAGTGGATCTGTAGATCGCCAGAACGGTGGAGCTTTGGATCACTAGATCTATGGATCTGTAGATCGCTAGTTCGGTGGATCGGTAGATCAGTTGGTCAGTGGATCTGTAGATCGCTAGAGCGGTGGAGCTGTAGGTCACTAGATCTATGGATCTGCAGATCGCTGATTGGTGGATCTGTAGATGGCTAGATCGGTGGATCTGTAGATTGCTAGATCGGTGGATCTGTAGATTGCTAGATCGGTGGATCGGTAGATCACTTGATAAGTGGATGTGTAGATCGCTAGAAGGGTAGAGGTGTAGATGACTAGATCTATGGAGCTGTAGATCGCTAGATGGGTAAATCGATGTTTTTGTGGATCGGTAACTGTATAGATCCTGATCGGTGGATCTGTAGATCAGTGGATCTAGTCGGTTGATCTGTAGATTAATAAATCGGTAGCTTTATGGATTTGTAGATCCATTAATCTGTAGATCGATGGCTTGATATATCGATGGATATGTACATAGATGGCGTGGTAGATCGATGGATCTGTAAATCGACGAATCCGTAGATGTATTGATCAGTAGATCGACGGATCGGTATATCAGTTAATCTGTAGATCGATGGATCTAGCAGTTTGATGGATCGGTAGATCGATGATTCTGTGGATCGGTGGCTCTGTAGATCCTGATCAGTGGATCTGGTCATTGGTGGATCTATGAATCGGTGGATCTGTAGATTGATGGATCTGTAGATCAATGGATCTGTAAATCGGTCTATCTGTAGATTGATGGATAGGAAGACGGAGGATCTGTACATCGATGGCTTG